ACTTACATCTACTGCAACAGTAGTTGGTGTCTGTTTAATTTATTCTTATAAATAGAGTTTCGGTTCAGCAATGTTTCTACAAATATTATTTTTTACTTCATTAACATTTTTGTGGATCAGTCTTCAGTCATTAGATTTTATTTTTTTTTTTTTTAACGAAAAAACACTGTAAGGGGTATTTATTAATATTACAATTTGATCAAATGTTGGTCAATGAGTAATTTTGTTCTAAACGATTTGGATGGTCGACCTGGCCGTTTTTGTGAAGCCCCAACGACAGGTATTTCAAAAGTACCTTCCAGCCAAGATCGGTTGTATTTTATAACATTATCTTCTATATAATGAGCTTTGGTCCACCTTTGTTTAATTTCTGATTTGAAATGGGCAAAACCACGTTTCAAATTAATAATTTGATCTTCATTATAACCTTCACATGACAAAAGTTGATCTTTTAGATAGTTTAATTTGTCATTTAAATGTTCTGTCTTCATACGGTCATATAAGTATTGTCGGGTCACTACCCTTACTCCTGATGCACTCTCCAAATCTAAAACAAACATACACTATGTTAAAAGCCGCTAATAAACATTTCCAATGATATACGAAATTTTGCTAAATATCTTTAATTAATGCCTCAAAGCTGTATTTATCCGGAGATATTTTTGTTAGCATTTATAAGGAAAATGATCATATAATAACCTATAATGATAACTATAGCTCGATCTACCCCGATACATAAACAAAAACACTAGAATAAAAAAATATTTAAGGAAATCACTGTATGAAAATGAGTTTTTTTTTTTTTTGTATAAAAAAATTATATTGTATAATGGATAATCATGACTTTATTAATGTAGTTTGGAAGTTTCTTACCTTGTCCATCAGAATCTATCACTTTCAATTAGTAAGTAGAACTTAATAACATAAAAATTAACTTTAGAAGTTTAACGTTTAGAAAAGCACTGAGAACGTACACTAGGTAAAACGGTCAAATTCTGAATGACGCTAGGGTTGGGGGTGCGAGATAGCAGGTAGATGGGCCTGGGTATTGTTCCCGGATTCGTCCTCTGTTCGTGGAACTCGTTATTATGAATGTTATTGTTATTTTGTTATTGGGTCTTTTGGCCGCGTAGATCGTGCAAATACCTGTATGTGCGTCGCCTAGTAAGAGCTTCGCATTCGAAGATCACATGGTACGAGGTTTCTTCCTCTTCCATGCAGAGTCTACACGTAGTGCCCCGTCTTATCTCTTGATAGAGCTTGATTTTTACTAAAAAATTTCATGTTGATATCGCTTTTCATTAAACCCTTCATTTTTAATCAATTTTTTTTAAAATCAATAGGCTTTGTCGCCTTATAAAGCTTGATTTTTGTTTAAAATTTTCAAGTTAATATAATTTTTCGTTTATTGACTTTTCGTGCACACAAAACGCGTGACTTCGGACAGACGGACCTATAATACTCTTCACAGACTACTGTGTAAAGAGTTCAATAATAAGAATATAATCAAGGCTAAAACAATAACATAATAGACTAAAAATAGGTGGAGTAAAGTTGCCTAATGTGGAATAGGTTCCTAAAGTGGAATACGCTGTTATACGGTGATCTATAGGCGCCATCTACTTACAAGCCAGTGCATCAAACGCCCCACCTAAAATGTTTTCGTACGTGGAAGACTTTGATATGGATAGCGTCAGTGGTTCGACGGGAGCGAAGCAAATATAGTTTCAAGCCCAGTAGACATTTTTGTACCAATAAATAAAAGGTGTGTTATCTCCGTTGGTATTAATATTAAAGGTAAGCTATTTTATGGAGTTAAAGTACATAGTTTGTAGTTTTATAATATGCTTAATATTTAATGCAATTAACCATTTTAGTTTCGATTATGTTGATATGAAATAAAATAATAAAAGTCTCCTTAAGTGGAATAGGAGAGGTGCCCTAAAGTGGAATATTCCACAATAGGAAACTATAACTAAAATTAAGCATATTTGCATTTGTTTCAGGAAAAATGCCAAAAAAGAACATTAAAGAGCACAAATGGAAGGAAGAAGATATGCAAAATGCAGTAGAAGCAGTACGAACTCATACAATGGGATATTTAAGAGCTGCCAGCACTACAAAGTTCCCCGTGCCACATTATTTAGATATTGTAAAAGCGACAAAAATATTATCGATATCAAGAAGGAAACCTTAGGAAGAAACCCTATTTTATCGAAATAATTGAAAACCAAGCTGGTGGACTACATTCTTAAGATGGAAAGAAACTTTTTTGGATTGACTAGGAGAGATCTACGTTCTCTTGCATTTCAATTGGCGAGACGTAATAATATTCCGAATAAGTTTTCATTGCTTCAGGAATATGCAGGAAAAAAATGGCTCAAAGGATTTCTGAAAAGACACAAAGATAAAATTAGCATAAGAAGACCAACAGGAACATCGGTTGTAAGGGCTGCCGGATTTAATAAACAAAGTGTGAACGAGTTCTTTGACTTGCTTGAACACGTCATGGAAGAAAAGAATTTTGCTCCTAGGCAGATTTTCAATGTGGATGAATGTGGCATATGTATCGTCCAATCTAAATGCCCCCAAATTTTAGCAATGAAAGGCAAACGTCAAATTGGAGCTATTACTTCCGCAGAACGGGGATCTCTAATAATCATTTCCATGTGTATGAGCGCAGATGGAACATTTGTTCAACCAATGATTATATTCCCTCGTAAGAATTGCAATGAACAACTCAAAAAGGGTGCTCCACCTAGAACTTTATTTAAATTTCATCCATCAGGGTGGATACAAATGGATCTATTCACAGCTTGGTTCGAGCACTTTATCGAATATGTTCATCCATCTGAAACCAACCCTATTCTTTTACTTTTAGACGGACACAACACACATACAAGAAACCTTGATGTTATAATAAAGGCTAAAGAAAATTTTGTAACAATTCTTTCCTTGCCGCCACACACCTCCCACAAAATGCAGCCTCTAGATAAAACTGTAATGGGAGCATTAAAAGCATTTTACAATGAGGAAATAAGGATTTTTTTTAAGGAATAATCAACGTCCAATATCCCACTTTGATGTTTGCGAACTGTTTGGGCAAGCCTATTTAAAGACGCAATCGGCGGAGCGAGCCGTCAAAGGGTTCGCAACTACAGGAATTTATCCTACTAGGAGAAACATTTTCAGCGAAGTGGACTTTCTAACCGTTAAACAAGAGGTTTGTAATGTTGATCCAATAATCCCATCCCACAGCCAAGAATGATTGCCGCAGAAGAAGAAAAGGAAAACCGAAATCCAAGTGTAGAAGCTGTTGGTCCAGAAGATATTTCACCAATACCGACCGTAAAGAGAAAAGTAGGCACTGGAGGCCGAAAAGCCAAAATAATAACTACTACGCCAAATAAGGAAGACCTAGAGAAATCGGTTCAAATGAAAGACACAAACGCAGCGACTCAAAAAAGGACAGTAAAAAAAAAATTATTTTCCGAAAATCCATCTTGTAGTTCATCTCAAGAAGGTAGACGTAATACGAAGAAAACACTAACTAAACGTCAAAAGAGAGATGTGTCTTCATCAAGTGCTGAATCTGATGCATCGAGCATTTCCATGCAGAATTCATCAGATGACGAAGAAGATTTTGCAAAACAGGAAAATAATCCTAACCAAGATGCACATTGCATTTTTTGTGAAGATAAGTTTTCAGATAATAATCAAGGGGAAATTTGGGTAATGTGCATGCTATGTACCTGTTGGGCACATGAAGAGTGTGCCGGACCCGAAAAAGAACCCTACGTTTGCGACTTTTGCCGTTAGTTTAATTTTTTTTTTAATTCTTTGTGCTAATATATTTGTATCTTTATTGTTTAAATAAACTTCTTTCTCAAAAAACAAAGTTTTTTCAATCAACATTTTATAACGAATGCTATTTTTCTTTTGAAACATAGGTATTCCACATTAGGAACCCATTTTTGAAGATCTAAAAAAAGGCTCATTTTATATTCTTATTTTTTTTATGATTTTTTTGGGAGATTTATATTTTTGTGACATGAACTATATATCCCTAATAGCCTTACCTATATCTATACAAAATATCTAAAAACAAAATTGAAGTTTATCATTTTTTTTTAATTAAAATAAAATACTATTCCACATTAGGCGACTTTACTCTACAATAAAAGAATGATAAAGTTTTGAAAATTATTTATTTATTTATAATTTTATTTCCGTTACATATTAGGAAACTTAAGGTTGAAGAAGAACATCTAAAAAATTACTTAATTAATAGTTGTTGATGTTTCTACTATTTGTGAGAGCATGACACACCATGATTTTAACTTTTTTAAAAAACAGTATCTAATCAAAAGATAAATGACCATTTAAATGTTCGAACAATATCTTCCGCATTTATTAAATTTAATGTTTGGGAGGCTTTGGAATTTTTGACGTTTAAATTTTTTTACGTCGCAAATAATAAACACTAACTTTGTGATTTAAGTGATTTTAAGAAGGCACATTGTTTCACGGATCTGTTGACGTATTGACCTCTCTTTTTAGCTGCAATCTTTCGCGAAAACCTCTCGCTCCCTTGCGATCACTCAGAATAGTGTACCACAGAGACGCGATTAGCCAGAGCGCAATGGCGTACCCAAAAATAGAGATTAACACGTATTATTATTTGATTAATAGTTCTGTTATTTATTATAAAATAATATGTTTTCCTGAAATGTATCTGGGCGTTCACTGCACAAATGAACCAATGGAGAAACCGCCCCTGTATGTTTTGTTTTATGTGCCTTATCGTATATTATTTACTATATTATTTGTCCAACGATTTTAAAAAGTTTGATATTTGTCATTATTAAATGTACTACCATCTATTCATTTGCGATAGTTTTTGAATTTGCTGTGTCATTTTTGTTTTAAAAGTTGTCCAAAGCACTTAAAATTTAGGATGATCTATGATATATTTTAACAAATGGCTGTTTTTGTTTCAGAAATTCGTTATGAGACCGCATACGCTTGCGAGGGAAAAATCCTGAAAATCGAATGTAAAGAGGGCGAGCTGATCAAACTGATACGAGCGAACTATGGCAGGTTTTCAATCACAATATGCAACGATCACGGCAATACTGATTGGAGCGTGAACTGCATGTCACCGAAATCTTTAAGAGTCCTTCACAGCAGGTGAGCCATGAAAAATAATATTTTTATTAGATTTTATAGTTTATTGTTGGTAACTTGCTAACTCCCTTTTTTGGATTTGAAGCGCCGCACTTCCAAGTTAAACAAAAGATAAAGATAAAACGTAGGTACATAAATACATTTTTTACTGCATTATACAAAAATCGACAAGAATTTTGTTCTTTTTTTTTCAAAAATTTATTTATGTAGGCGACTCTGCAAAACCTGTATACACTTTTCTTTTTTAAGAAACAAAAAAGAAAGGTTAAAGATCTGAAGTATGCATTTGGATATGTGAAAATAAAACCCCAATTGCCCCCACGAAATTAAGGAATTCATCCCTAGGGGAAATTGGAGTTTTATTTTTTAATTCCAAATGGATTTTTCTTTTTAAAAATAGTTGCATACCCTACCTGATAAGAATAAACTGTAGTAATTTTTAATACACTTTTTTGCAATGAACATGTTTATACAAATGTCTAGTCGTGGTGGTACTGTTGGTTAATCCCATCATATGCACAGTAGCTATATTAAAAATTTACTGTTAGAAAGTCATGAACGTGCCATCAAATATTACATTATTTTAATAATTATACCCTATTTACATGTTAATTAACATTCAAACAATTTCTGACCCGTTCATGCGCGTTATAAAATAATTGTCTAAACTGTCTCTATGAATAAACCTAATAACAAAATTCCATTGTTTCTTATTTAAAATTACGATGTTTTGTAAATGCGATAAATATTGATGTACGTACATACCTTTAGTATTTAAAATTCATTTGTTACTTGGAAGTGTTATTGCATTAAAATAATATATTAAATAAAAAATAAAATTGTTGTCAACCATGTAAAATTTTAAAATATGCATAAATCAAAATATTTGAAAATTATTTTTGTTAATCAAAAATAGAATTGGTAGAACTATGAACTCATAAATATTTTGATGATCCAATAAAAACGATTTAAAGATAAAATACAGCGTAAATAATGTTTTCAGTGACTATTATATATGATTTAATATTAATGAAAAAAAGTTCTTACAAAATATTTATACTAGAGATGAATATGATGTAGAAATTAAGATCAAATAGTTTGTTTGAAATTTGTTCTGAGATGAAAGTGAACAATTTACAATATTGCATTTATATTTTTTTATTTTGAACACAACTTAGATTTGATTCATCCATATCAAAAATTTGAATCTTTTACAAATTTCGCTTATCTAGCTTTGTTTTGAAATGCCTCGCAATATACTAGATCAAGTAATGAAGCGTGAAATTGATAACCTGACTATAAAAGTATCAATCTTAGAAAAAAATATTAAATAGAAAAATTGAATGAAATACACCTTTTGGGAACATGAATCTCTGATTGATTGCCAGGAAGCATTTTTTCTTAATCGGTTAACAAGGGAAATTATAAGTGCAACCAAATAAGGGTAAATTTGGTGAAATTTACAAACATCGGCCGATTTTGAGCGCTCGCCATTTCCATAATTGTCAAGCTATCGACTTGAACAAAAAACTATTCTAAAGTTTATTTATTCAGGTATAATGCCTTTTTTGAAATATTTTAATATGACCATCCGTTCGGCCCATAGTGCTCGTGAAATAATAGTACTGCAAAGCATGGGAGAGTGACCTTCAACGACAAGACATCCCTCTCTTCAGGACACTCTGGAGCAGGGTTTCCCAAACTATTTTGGATAAGAGACCCCTTTTCCAAAATGAACTGATACCTCAGACCCCCATAGACAAATTACTTTAAAAATCCTATCTCTAGTTTTTTCCTATTGATAAAAAATACTTACCAATTTAAAAACTTTGCGGTTGAGTAAACTTATACTTAAGTAGGTAATTATAAAAAAAACAATAAAATCGCAACTGCAACTGCAACTTAACTTTGTTGAACATACCAAATATATCAGTCAAGTATTAAATATCTGTTTTACAATTGTTCAGATTTTCTTTCAAATTCGGATCTTTTTCTTGTAAAAACTCCAACACAGATTCAAAAATAGCTCAAAATCATGCTAAGAAGGAGCTTCTTGATAGCCAGCAAACTTCAGTGTGAAGAAGTAACCGAGTAAAGACTTCGTTATTTTCCTAACATAGCTGAGCAAATAACTGAGAGTTCAAAGAATTGCTTCGAATCTTGTTGACAGCGTTTATAACATTGTGAAGACTGGTGTAACTGCAACTGCTAGTAAATGCTGTTTGTGAATCACACAGTGAATGACCAGTAGGTACCTCAGGTAGTTGTCGCTTTAAGTGATCTATAAAACCACGATGACGTCCAACCATAGATGGTGCCCCTCAGTCGCAACAGAAACAATTTCCTTCCATGGAATATCTGTCGGTAAATAAACGTTCCACAGACTGAAAAATCGATTATCCTCTAGTATCAGTCACTAAATATGTAGCAAAAAGCAGTTCTTGGTACATATTTTCATCTTTAATATATCAAACATATCCTAACAACAGAGCTTCATTTCCGGGTAATGTAGACTTGTCCACTGGAGAGAGAATCTGTTGATCTGTATGAAATTTCTTAAAATGTTTTCCACGTATCGGCTCATCTCGTCTATTCGTCTCCAAACGATGGTATTGTTCAAAGGAATTCTCTTTATAATATCATGTGCGGGCTTGTGCAATACATTGTTGAGGACCTCCGCAATGGCTGGTAAAATAAGCTGCTCTCCAATTGTATGGGGTTTCCGTGACTTCGATATTAGTAAAGATATACTATAGGACGCTCGTAAATCATTAACGTCTTGCATAGATGATGACGCAAACATCGGCCTTATGGATGGCCTTTTCTCTAGTTTTTCTTTAAGTGCTTGAACGTATGACCACTTTGGGAATCCCTGCTGTAGAGGGTAAATTATAAATACTAAGGTAGTACTCTCGTGGGTTTGTCACAAATATCCTCTAGATAGTCTAGACTTTAGATGAAGACCGACTAAGAGTTTTTCATATCAGATTAGCCCTTAAAAAAAAGCAAGCCTGGAAGCAAATGAACAGAGCTCATCATTATATCGAATTGAAGGAACATACCAATTTTTAGCTTTACTCTAATTTTTCACAGGCTACTCTATTTTTTCACAGGCTACTTTATTTCTTGGCCTATAGGGTTACTTACAAAAATAATTTTTGGGTTTCTTTATTGATTGATCCCCACCAACATAAAACCTATAGATGTGATTTCGTTGCAGTCTAGCACTAATAAAAAGCAGTTTTTCTTTTTTAGTTTGCCTAAATACTTAAACTTTTTCTATAATGTTACTTTGATATACACACAACCAAACTTATATGGAATTTTTAATAGCCGAAAAGCAAAAAAAAGAAAATTGGTAATTTTAACAATCCGTATTACCACCTCTAGCCCTTATGCAAGCTTCTATTCGCCTTAACATGCTTTTTATTAAATTGTCAACTTTATCTTGGGGTATGTTTTCTCATTCTGCTAATGCTGCATCAATAAGCTATGCGATATTTCCTGCATTGTTTCGAGGAGCTCTAACGCTTCTTTTGAGCTGCTCCCACAAGTGTTCGATAGGATTTAGGTCTGGTGAACATGCGGGCCAGTCTAAAACTATGACACCTTTCGTTTCAAGATCTCCTCTAGCCACTCTGCTGATATGGGGAGGTACATTATCGTGCATAAAGATAAATTATCCCCAATCGCAGCTCTCCAAAACCTAACGATTGGTTCTAACAGTAAATCAACAGTCCTCGGACCGGTTAAAGTTTGTTGAAGTGGTCAATGGAGTTTTTGCTTCCAGCATATTACCTCCTTAGAACATTACAGTTCCTTCTTGATATGTTGGAAGAGATCTGGCAGCGTGGAGTGTCGCTCATCTTCCTGGAACCCGAATTGGATGGTCATCTGATCTTAGGCCAATTCTGGTCTCATCCTAAAAAAGAACATTTTGTCAATTCTCAATTGTACAGTTTTGGTGTTGAAGGCACCAAGTCAGCCGATCAATTTTATTTTGTCTAGATAACTGTGGGATCCGTAACTCTCTCCTACTGTACAACCCTCGAGCGTGAAGTCTTTTTATTAGGGATTCAACTGAAACGTTCACACCTGTAGCTTCCAGAAGTTGTCGTTGTAGCTCTGAATGAGAAACACTGGGATTTCTTCTAGCAATTTGGCACACAAAGCGGTCCTGTTTTTCAGTTGTGACTCTGGCGACCTTGTCTTGAGAGTTTCTAGTTCCAAGTACCTTTCATATGTTTTCGATACAACACCCTAGGTATCGTCTACTTCCTTTGCTATGTTTCATTGGGATATTCCCTTGTTTAATGAGAGCAATAATTCTTCCCCTCTGCACATCTGTTAGTCCAACATAGGCATTTTGTTGTTTTTTGAACCGAAATTAAATTATAATAATATAATAATAATAATAATAATAATACTCTCCCTAATTCACCCCCTTACGAGTGAATTTCAACCCCTGAAGTCGACTGAACGACTTGTGTAGGGGAAGGGACGGCTATTATTATTATTTACCGAAGGATCATGATTTTACTTCTGAACACAAAATTCACAAGATAATAAATCGCAGCAGTCGTTTCTTCTTTATTATCATGTTTGTTTTGAACAAAAAGCCTTATCTTAAAGTTGGATACCAAATTTTTTTCTTTACCAAAAATTTATTCAGAAATACATAGTGATTCCATATAAGTTTGGTTGTGTGTATATTAGTTAATATCCGTTATGCAGTTTTTTTTGTTGGATGACCTTATGCTATTCTAACCTAAACTTATTTAAAATAGTACTTGAATGTTACTCTTACACACATAGCTTTTTGGCCGTTCGATAAAAAGTATTCGACTACAACCCATTAGTGGCTAGGAGAGGTTTATTAGAATTTTCAGACAATACTGACGATTTATGTACTGAGCTCACCAACAGCAAAAAATCGTTGTCTGTTAAAGGAGCTTTAGGTATCCTTTGAGTCGTCAATGCGTTAATATGCTCAGACAGGAATT